TTATTTGACAGAGAGAGACACAGCGAGAGAGGGGAACACAAGCAGGGGGAGTGGGAGAGGGAGAAGCAGGCTTCTCGCTGAGCAGGGAGCCCAATGCGGGGCTTGATCCCAGGACCCCGGGATCATGACCTGAGCCGAAGACGCTTAACCGACTGAACCACCCAGGCACCCCTTAGAGCCTCATTTGTTGTATATAGGTACTTAAAAGAAATTAAGAACAATTTAAAAAATTGTGATAAAATACACATAAAATTTACCCCTCAAACCATTTTTAAGTGTATGGTTCTGTGGCATTAAGTGCACTTGCACGTTGTGCTACCATCTCCAGAACTGTTTTCATCCTACAAAACTGAAACTTCATGCTCATTAAACAGTAACTCCACATTTTTCCCTCACCTTGGCTCCTGACAACCTCCATTCTACTTTCATCTCTGATTTGACTACCCTAAGTATCTCAGATACGTAGATTCATACAGGATTTTTACTTTTGTGACTGGCTGATTTCACTTAGCATGATGTCCTCAAGGTTCATCCATATTGCAGCATTGTCAGGATTTCCTTTGTTTTTAAGGCTCAGTAGTATTCCATCTTACCTATATACCACATTTTGCTTATCTACTATTCCTGGATGGACACATGGGTTGCTTCTACTTTTTGGATATTGGGAACAATGCTGTTATGAATATGGCTATGTAAACATCTCTTTCAGACCCTGCTTTCCATTCTTTTGTGTATATATCCAGGAATAGAATTGTTGGATCATATGGTCGTTCTATTTTTAATTTTTTGTGGATGTATATATATACTTTTGAATAACCTCCCCTTATTGAGCTTTACCCTCCACCACATGTAGAGACTCTGGGTGTGAAGATTCTCCAGTTCACAGCCGCCCGCCTCCCCCACCCTTCCCCAACCATCTTCTGTCTAGGGAATGGACGTGTTTGGGGTAGTCATCTGGCTATGTGGTGTTGAAAAAATAATTTGAGGGCCTGAACAGTCTGCATGTGAACTTTGAACCTAATCCTGGTTTTCCCCACCACAACTCTGCCCCCACCCTTAAGTGTATACCAGTGGTCGCTCCAGATAAATGGGTCAAAAAACCAACCCATTGAAGGTCAATTCATGTAAATGGCCAACTTGCAAATAACTTTTCTTTCAATTCTTTATTTTTAGTTTTCATTTTGTCTTCATAACTGCATTTTAATGCAAATTCAGTTAGACTCTGCTTCAGTTCCCTATTGCTGCAGCAGAGTCTGAGGGGTTGGATAAAAGGCAAAACCTTGAGGGACATTAGAATATAGAATATTAATTTTTTTTAAAGATTTATTTATTTGACAGAGAGAGACACAGCGAGAGAGGGAACACAAGCAGGGGGAGTGGGAGAGGGAGAAGCAGGCCTCCTGCGGAGCAGGGAGCCCGATGCAGGACTCGATCCCAGGACCCTGGGATCATGACCTGAGCCCAAGGCAGACGCTCAACCACTGAGCCACCTAGAATATTCATTTTTTATTCCTAGGGGAGTAGCCTGACTCGGATTGAAATCGGAAGTTATTATATAGCTGTTTGAGCTTTGGGCAAGTCTTTCAGTTTCCTGGGCTGAAAAACACAAAACGGGATCACAATTATAATTCATAGAGCACGTGTGTGTGTGTGTGTGTGTCTGTGTCTCTGAGTGTGTGTGTGTGTGCGTGTGTGTGCGTGCGTACGCGCACGCTTTGCCAAGGTAAACCCAGGGCAAGCGTGTATTAACAGCTCTGAAGTAGTGTGACGTCACCATAGTAACGGCCACCTGCGCGCCTGCGTCAATTTAAAGAGCCGGCGTAATCCTGGGGCCGCTAGCCCCGCCCTCTTCCTCAGATCGCTCCGCCTCCGTTTCCCCGCGGCCTGCCCGCTACGCCCTGAGGAATCCAAGTCACCAATCAGCGTCCACTTTTCCCTTGCAGTCAACGGCGAGTGCCCCGGTTTCAAAAGCTCGGGGGCGGGTTCCAGGTTCCGCGCACGCGTGGTCGGCCCTCTTTCCCCACGCTGCTTCCGCGTTTCCTCAGTGCCGTCCCTCCGCCAGGCCTGAAGTGTCTCGTGTCTGGGGGCGGTCTGGGCTGTCTCTGCCGCGGCAGCGATGGGCAAAACTGCCGGCTCTCGGGGGCCAGGAGGCCGGCCCGACCCGGTGCGGAGCTTCAACCGTTGGAAGAAGAAACACAGCCATAAGCAGAGCCAAAAGAAGCAGTTGAGGCAGCAGCTGAAGAAGCCCGAGTGGCAGGTGGAACGCGAGGCTATCAGCCGCCTCATGCAGAACTACGAGAAGGTGAGGCCGG